TATCAGGCCGTGTGGTTGTGTCCAGGCTTCCTGGCACTGCGCTGTCAGTGCAGCTGCCAGAGCCTGTCGGCTTTCGCTGACAGCTGACCATGTGGTTTGATGACCCCTATAATGAGACCTTGCACCGCAGCTCTTCATTGAGTTTGACGGATCGCTCTTGACGTCTATCATCCACACGTCGCTGCACACGTCCTCGGCTCGGGGAATGTGGGACTTGGCGTGGATGCTGCAGTGCGCGGTACGGCCAAGAAAAGATGCTCTTGTTGTCTTGAACGTTCATCTAGAATCCAGAGCAATCTAGCATTCCTAGCAGTACTTGGAGGATCGGCGTGGATATATTTCAATAGCGCAGTTGGTGTAGTTGTGAAGTAGTTGTAAGTACTCCAGCTATAACTCCGGCAAGTATCGATGTATGTGACACATCTGAGAGAAGTTGCACGGACGGACATGTCAAGTACTTCCGGCCGGGGGTATGTACTTACCAAGTATCGTATTGAAATGTGTCACTTAGCATGTAGATATGATATGATTAATAGTACATATGTGCGGACGTATAAGTACTTACTAAGTACTCAGACGGACTTATGCTAACTGTGGCAAGTGCTTAGGGCTAAGTCCAACAACTGGGTTAGGGGCTGTCGCTGCGTGAGTGGGCTAACCGTGTTCCGGGGCTAAGTGGGTTTTGGCCTCCCAGGAAACATGTTTCAAATCGTATGGAAATTCTATATATTTCATTATGAGAGCCTCGCCTGCTTTGTCGAGAGTGAGTGCCAAAAACAGATATTTCATTCAAACATACAATGCAACCATCCTTGTGAATTTCGTATGTTTCGCGAGGCGGAATGGGGTGCATAGAGTGCGTCATAAGAACATAACATAAACCCACAGTGAAATTTTTCTATGTATGTATATGTACATGTTGAAACACACACACACACATGCCGACATGTAGATTTAGTGTGTATATATTTACGTGTATGACAGCAGAGCCTGTGAGCATATTTTGCATTGCCGCAGACATGCATGCATACATGCATGTGTACACAATATATGTACATATAAATAAACATATACATATATATGTATGCATATATATATATATATGTATACATCTCACAAACCAGGAACACACGTTGAAGTTTGTCTCAGTTGTGTTTGTAATATAGTAGCTTATCACGTGCACACACATACATGTGTATATGTATATATATATATCAACGCTGACTATATACGCCAACTGGATATATGAACGGGCATGGTGCAAACTATATGTTATGCAAAAGCGTGATCCTGCTCCAGACATATGCAAGCTTCAACGACAAGAACCATGTGAGGTTCCTTCATAATTTCATTATTTCGTGTTTGTTGTTCTAACCGTTAGTCCCCCCCGCCCTCTGCCCTCCGGGCTACGTCCGGTGATCACTTCATGGAACTGGTGTTCAACCATGTGCGAAAAATGGAGTCGGAAATGGTATGCCTGGAGTCGAATCCAGATGTCCGTGAGACTCGAGCACACCAGAGTCCATGGCCGCCAGGCCCGTCTCCGCGGGACTCAACGAAGCCAACCTCAAGAGGTTCATGCCGCGCGCCCAAATGATTACCCAAGCATATGTTCATGCAGCCTGAATGACCGAGCCTGCCAGGTCTAGTCTAGTTATGCCTAGCTGCCTGTGATCAGATGTTCAACCTTGTCAGGAAGATCCGATTGTTGTCGTTCGCGGGGAGCCCCTTCCTCTCTCGCGTGTCCTTGCCGACGATGATCTCCAGGCTTTGCGCAGACAGGTATACAAGTAATTTGGGCTAACTTGCACCAGGCTAGGGTACTGATGTGCTTCGCTGCTTCGCCGACTCCGAAGAACCACTAGGCGAATTGAAGATTCGAGGGTGCAGGGCTCATTTCCGAAGCTGTGGATCTTACAGGATGGACTGCTGCTTTTGAAATTGCACTGGGCTGTGCTGTGGCTCGGCCGAGCAGGAGAAGATGACGGACCAGGAGTACCAGAGGCCGACAGACTAATCAGACTACCACATGGTGAAGCATACCAGCATGCAGCATGCAGATGTCGTGGTGCTTGCAGCATCCACAGAGTTCATAGCCTTTGCAGCCGTATGTCGTCTTTGCAGTTTCTACGACATCGACCGGAATCTGCAGCACCGAAAGTTGCGGAGACTCTTGTCGTAGCAGGCGGGCCGCCACCTCTCTGAACTAACAGACATTCTTGCACCTGCTTAGCCAGTCGCAGCTCACCATGTTTCGTCGTGTCTGAGCCCTCAGCCTCCAAAGCCTTGCGAGCTTTCTTATGACTGCAGATGGCTCGAGACCGGAGGGTTTAGGCCAATCCAGTGGTGGATTGTGTCCGGATCCTGGTCTCCAGCCCCTTGGCCTGCATTGCGTTGCTGAGAGAAGCACAAAGCTCATTGGCAAGAGGCTCGGCGTGGGAAGAAGCCCTGCCTTGCATTTTCCATGGTGGTTCTAAGGCCACCCGCTTAAGGTTGGCTCGGACCTGCCGTGCAACGCAGGTGGAGCGCTTGGGCATCCTGGCTGACAAGGCTAGTCAGGATCGACTTGTTGGTCCCTTTTTCTGAAACTCCGCTGGCGTATATCATTGGCATCATCTCGTATTTACTATTC